CCCCCCACAATACTCCCCTCCCCATCTCAAAACAAACACCACTTCTCGCGCGGGGGGGGGGGGCCCCAAAGGTCCCCTAAAGAATTTTTTGTCGAAAAACATTTATTTTTTAATTCGATCTTTTTTACTTCTACTAATATCTGACACATAGTAAGACGATATTATACTAAAATAATCATTTTTTAACTCAAAAAACCAGATGTCCACCCGCTCTATGGAAAAATGCCCACTATGGAACGTGACACTTAAAGTGACTGTCACTTATAAGTGTGTGTACCCTTTTAGGTAGTCGTTTTCCCCTTACATGGTCCTTTGCTGAATCCGACCGTTTTATATATATTTTTTTATTGCATATTTTGTAGGTGTTTCTCTATGGTCGGACACCGTGCCAATATTTCTTAGCAGAGTTAGTTTTTTAAATCAGGATACAAAACCACAAAAGTTACAATTCAGATTAGCATCGATTATTGAACCAGATGATAAATTAACCATTGAATTTTATATAACTTCGAAAAAAAAGCGAAAAAAGTAAATATCTTTATGATACTTTTCATAATTATCAATTATATTGTTATTTTGTCATATTATAGACTATGGGCAATGTTCGAGATTATTCTAGAAAATATCATCGATACAAAAATATTAGAATTAGAAGAAAATCTAACAGATCCAAATAATTTTTTAATTAAAGTAATTAAAAATTTGTTATTGATAAATTTAAAGTTAATATTTAATTAATTTTACATTTTATTTTTTTTAGTCGACATTTACATTTAAACTTCATTATGCACATCCTGATTTAGCTACAGCAGTCAGTACTTTGGGAGGTGGTGAAATTCAAGGTCAAGATGAAATTGAATTGTTAGATATATTTAATGAAGATGAAAATACCGGTTATAAACATCGTGTGAAAAAAGGTGATTTAGGAAAACTGTAAGTATATCTCTTTTTTTTTTGTTGTTGTTTTTCAATTTCAATTTTTTATTATATTTATACACTTTGACTATATTTAGTGGAAATTTAAAACGAAAATTAGGTAAAAAACATGGTGACGAAGATGGTACACATGACTTAGATGGTACAGATGATGTACCGCCGGAAGTTGTCGATGAAGCAGGTAAATATGATTTCTTATCCAATAGAAAAAGACAAGAAATGATGATTTAAAAACGTTTTAATAGAATAAACTTGTTTCTATTGAAAATTTCTTTTATTATCTATCAGTTAAGACACGACGACAACGATTTGGTAAAATTCTATTTTTGATTGTGCTTTTTCTTCATATAATTTTCTAGCCTTTTTATATATATATATATATATATATATTTGATGTCTCTTGCTTCTTCTCCTCCCGTCATTATTTTTTCAAATTGATTTTATAAACATTTGTCTATTATTTAGATCAAATGAAAAAGACAATGAATAATATGGAATTACTACAGAAAAGGTAAAAAAAAATTAATTCTTCTAGTGATAAAATTATGTTTTGCAAACGGTTCATGTTTAAAATAAACGTTTTTATACTTAATCCGTTTATTAACTGAATTTATGAGTTTTTATTTGAATTATCCCAGTGAGCAACACCTTAAATAAATGATGTACATCAGAACGTAAAAATTTCAAATCTTGTTCATCAAGACAACGTTTAGCTTTCTATTTTCAATTATCCTCGTCATTTGCTCAACTGTTCTAATTTAGTTAGATCTGATATAACATGATATCCAAAAAGGATCATGAGGCCAACAGCATACGTACAAATATAGTGTTTTAGTGTAGTTCTCATGAATGAATAGTCGTTAAATGTTAGTTCATGGAATATAGTAATCTTGTTGCAGTCATGTTTAAGTAGACATATGAATAGATGATGACGATGGCACACTTTGTGAGATCATACCAGTAGAAAATCGAATTATTGTCCAGCTGCTTTGTTCACTGTTAAACTTCTCAATTCACTAATTGTTGAAAACGATGTAAATCACTTGATAAGGATTTCTCATATAATTTCTGTAGCATTTGTTCGGTAGTGGGGAGGAAAACAGAAACAGACAGTTTACTTGTCAGTAGGCATGCAACAGTTTCGATTAAGGGTATCCCCTTCCTCTCTTTTTCTACCCTCTTGGAAACTAGAGAAGCCAATGTCGGATCGGGTTCTGATTTATATCGGAGATAGAACAACCAAAAAGAAAATCGATGTATTTTTTTGCCCAGGATTTTCTGACGTGTTCTTCTATAGTTTTGCTGGAAAACTCCGGTTTTCATTGCCGCACATTACCATCCTTCGAAAAAATGATCCGATCGAACTCAAAATTTTACCACAGATGCTTCAGACCCTATCTCAGGTTCGTCTTTTTTCTTTTCGGAAAATATTCTTTGCTTTCCCGAGGTATCCGAAAAATACTGAAAATCCCATATAAAAAACTGATTTTTCGTTTTCAAAATCTTCTCACGCCCAAAGCTGAAGTCCGAAACGCTTTTAAAAAAAACGAACCTGAGATAGGGTCTGATGTATCTGTGGTAAAATTTTGAGCTCGACCATTTTTTCGAGGGGTCGTAATCTGTGCCAATTGAAGGAACTATTGAAAAAACGCATAGTGAGAAAAATACATATTGTACACAGGACTCTGTTTTTCAAAGCATTTGCGGCTATGTGTATATCTCTAAGAAAACTCATCGAAAAATTCTGGAAAACATCTCATTTTGAAGAGCACACTTTGTTCTATCATGCTATATATAACAAAATAGATATATATAGGAAAGGAGAGAAAATTTACGAACATAAAAAGTTGAGATTTTCTAGGCTCGGAAGGAAAAACTTAAAAACTTCATAATTTTTTCAAGGAAGGTCATCGAGAGGTGGGAATGATCTCATTTTATAGCCCAGACTTTTCTCTACATTAGACTATGTCCAGCTCAAAATGACAACTTTTCTGCAAAAAAGAGGGAAGGGGACCCTTAACCAATGAGTGATATAACAGAAAAAACTTTTTTATTGAAATAGTAAGTAACTTTTTCATTTGAAACAGTATGAAGGAAACACATCTGAGAATGTTCATGCTAGAAAAGAAAATGTTCATCGTTGCACGAACCGAAACCGGTCCATGTCTACTTGTCAGTGTATGATGCTACTTGCTCGTCTATTGAAGGTTTCCGCCCTCTGTCAAAAAGGTCAATTTTCTCAACACACGGGTAGATAGTTCACAGTTATATGCTTTCTAGTCTACAGATAAGTTTCCATAGTTTGAGAGGAAGTACTTTGAATAACCTCGATGAGTAAAATTAATAGAAAAAAATGACAAAAATTTATCGTCCACGTTGGATGTTGAAAGGCTTGTGGTCATCTGAAAATGGAATTACGACATCTCATCTCAACTTAACGGAGTCAAATCTGTGATTTTTCAAACTAATTGTTGAGAAAAATGTAGTTTTTTTCATGAAAGTTTTGGAAAAATTGAACAAAAAAAGTTTGAAAATTCCAGCTTTGTTCACTTGTAGCGCTAAGTCTTGATTATTCAACACTTAGGCTTAAAACTTTAGTACCATTCTACTAGTCCATTAATTTTTTTTCGTCTATACTGCAATGTTAACATTTGTCCAATGTTGATATATAATCTGTAAATATAAACGTCATTTTTTCAACAAGATTAAAAAGGTGCTTAGATGAAAAGGAGTCGAAGTTGAGCTTTGCAGAAGTTACTGACTGAGAAGTCTGTCAAAAGAAAAATGCTTATACTATACCACCACATGTAAAGCCATCTAAACCGTGTCCAGCACAGTATTTTTATCCAGAGTTTTATTTTATAATTAAAAATAAAAATCAAATGTTCGTGTCCAAAAGTATAAAAATATTTATATAGACATGAATCGTTCTCAAAACAGCATTGTATATCCAAATATATAAGAAAAACTGTACTCGGATAAATGTTGATCATTTGATAATCGAATGTAATGTTTATTTCTTTCAGTCTTGGTCGTTATGATGGTGATCCATATCAATTAACCGAATGGCAAGTGATGGTTCATGTGATACAAGGACGAGAATTACCTGGTCTAGATATTAATCCGTATGTAGTGGTACAAATAGACGATGAAAAACACACAACAATGGTACAAAAATTAACAAATGCACCATTCTACGGAGAAGTATATCGAATATATTTTATATTTCATTGATATATGAATAGAAAATTGTTCATTTTAGTTTTTTACATTTGATTTTAATTTACCTGCATCACAAATGTTCGAAAAAGTTATTTATTTTAGAGTAAGTGTCTAATTATTGTTTATATTCTTTGTTTATTTCTTCTCTCTGATCTAAAAGGTACATAATTCTAAAAAAATTATAAGTAAATTTACGGATGGTACACCACTTGGTATATTTAAAGTTGATATTGCTACAATTTATAATGAAAAAGAACATGCATTTGAACGAAAATGGGCACAATTGACAGATCCAAACGCCGTTGGTATTACTTGTGGTCATTTATTAATGTCGATTATGGTTGCACAAAGAGGCGTACCATCAAAAGTATGTGTATTGATGTATAAAATATTTCAGTGTAAATTGTATAGAAAAGGTTAAAATAGAATATTCCCTTGTTCATTACCTAGTTGATCATCTCTAACTTTTACAAAATGTTTATCAATTAGTCTATCATATATAAAGGTAGCAGACAACAACACATTCAGAAGGAAAAAAAGTTTTATTCTGCACAATGTTAATTTTTTTTGCGCAGAAAAGAATCTTTTTGTTTTTTTTACGTAAGGAAAGAATAAATTTAAGGGATCTCCTCCCTCTCTCTCCATCCGCCCCTCGAGAAATCGATGTTTTTGATAAAAAAAAATCGAAATTGAGTTTCTTGCTTAAGCGAGAACCTCTTCAGGTGTCCAACGCGGATTTTAATGATCTTTTACCGATAGATACTGTATAGTGTCCCAGTAAAAAGCTCGAAAGGATTTGGGCTCTTGTCGGTTCTTGTGAAAATTAATGAATTTTTTTGAGTTTTTCCTTCAGAGCCTTAAAAGACTCAATATTTTAGTTTCATAGAGTTTTCTTTCCTTTCGTATATATTCAAAATTTTTTCTTATACATAGTCTCATAGAAGAAAATCTTCTCTTCAAAATGAGATGTCTCTCAGAATTTTCTGATGAGTTTTCATGGAGATATCAGAATCACGGCAAATTCCCTAAAAAAAAGTGATCTGTGTACAAAATGCGTTTTTTT